TAAATCATGGAAAATCAAGCGAAAAGCCCTAATTTCACTCGTCCTGTCACTTTTCATAGGGATTTTAATGACCTTATTTTCCTACACCCTTCGGATACAACTAATTTGATTTTTGTCAATCATTTACTTTAAGGAGATGATTACAGCTCATAGAGTAAGGCAAATGTTATTTTTTTGGAAGTAAAAAGCAAATATGGATTTATCAATGGTAAATGTTCAAGACCGAACTTTGAGTCCCTTGACTTTGCTCGGTGGAAGAAATGCAATGCATTGGTTCATGCTTGGCTACTCAATTCCGTGATCCGCTCAACTATTCAACAATTTGGTTTATCATCGAGATGCTTGTGGATGTTTGGAAAGACCTTAAGGAGAGGTTTGATAAATAACATAAAGCGAAGATTTTCTCTCTGCATAAAGAAATCAACTCACCGGTATGAGGTTCGGATTCTATGGCGAGCATATTATTTGAAATTAAGGCAATTTTGGGATCAATTGGATTCTTTAATTTCTCCACCAGCTTGTGCTTGTCCATATTGTCACAATAAAGTTTCTCGACCATTTGTTACATATACATAGCCTCATAAGATGATGCGGTTCTTGATGGGCTTAAATGATAACTTCCAGGCGATAAGGTCTCAAATTCTATTGATGCGACCTATGCCAACACTTTCACGGACATATTCTATGGCATTTAATGAAGAATCACGAGAGAGGGATTGGTACCAATTCAAGTGTTCCTACTATATTTTTCACTTCTAGAAATCAATATCCAGTGAAACAGTTTATCGATAAAGCTAATTGGTTACAAAATAGAAGAGAAGTTGTGTGTGATTATTGCCGGACATCTAATCATCCGAAAGAGACTTATTATAAGCTACATGGATATCCTTATCCTCCTCGAAGATCATTTGGGAACAATAAAAGAAATAGGGGTGGTTCCGTTGACAAAGGAATTTCAATGCTCATAATGTGAGCTACTAGAGAATGCTAATGCATCTACGGGAGACAATCACAATTTCAATTCTTCGGGAACATCATCCGAGTAGATTCCAGAGCGAGTCTTACATAAGCAAACCTACAACTATAGGACATCCTTCAATCTTCTCACCTCATCGGTATTAACGGATACTTGACTTACTGTTAAGAGATTTAGAGAAACATGTTAAGCCAACAACACTTACTGCTAATATGACGAGTACATATTTCTAGAGCTTGCTTAATATGGATTGTGAAAATGATGATGTGTGGATAGTTGACACGAGAGGCTAATGTACATATGATTGGTAAACTTGCTTACTTGCATAATCCTATAAAACTTGTATATAATCTTATTGTCGATTACTTAATGGCACTATGACCACTTGTTACTCATGTAGGCTCTGTCATGTTTTCAAATTTTGTTTTTCAAAACATTTTATATTTGCTAGAATTCAAGTTCAATTTGTTGTCGGTAGCTAGATTTATTGCCGATAATAATTTTTTAGCATGTTTTTACCCCGCCCTATGTTTGTTTCGGGACCTATGGACTGGAAGGACAAAGGGGATTGATAAAATTCACAATGGCCTTTATTATATCTTGCTAGCGATTTTCATCTTCTGCTTCCTTAAATTCCTCAAATAATAGGTTTCTTTCTAGTCATACAAAACCAAGTTATAGTTTGAATTCTATTCTTAGTAATCAATTTTCAAATGATTCTATGTCTCCTTGTAAAGCTACCGCTTGTAAAATAAGTTACCCTTCTAATATAAATCTTTGGCACAAGAGATTTGGCCATATATCTTTTTCTCATCTCAAGTTAATCTTGGTATTTCAATACCTTCTACACATGAATTCTTTTATGATATTTGTCCACTTGTAAAACATGCCAAATTGCCCTTCCTTTATAATACATCTATTACACAGTTTCCATTTGAACTTATTCATGTGGACATATGGGGTTCCTATAGGCATTCAACCTACTGTAAAGAAAGGTTTTTTTAATCCATTGTTGATGATTTCTCTAGGGAACTTAGACTTTCCTTCTACACCATAAATCTCGGGTTCCCAAATTACTTCAACATTTTTTTGTTCTCATAAATACATAATTTTCTACCTCAATTCGTAGGATCAAATTAGATAGAGGTTCCAAATTCCTTCAGACATGCTTGTCAAGATTTATTTGCTTCTAATGATGTTATCTATGAAACCATCGTTACATATACTCCACAACAAAATGGAGTTATAGAAAGAAAACATGGGCATATCTTTGACATCATAAGAGCTTTTATGTTTCAATCTCATGACCCAATCTAATTTTGAGATGATTGCATCCTACCCTCTACCTACATAATCAATAGAACTCCTACACCACTTTTGAATAGCTAGACTCCTTTTGAAATTCTATTTCGAAAATCTCTTGATTTATTCTCACTTTCGAGTCTTTGGTTACTTGTATTATGCTAAAATTTTACCTTGTTAAGATAAATTTGTCGCTAGATCCACGACTTGCCTTTTCTTAGGTTATCCTTATACACAAAAGGGTTACAAAGTTTTGAATTTAGAAACTCATAAAATTTTTGTCTTTAGAGATGTTTTGTTTCATGAGAATTTATTTCCTTTCCATGATTCTTTTCACTATTCTCCTTTCTCACAAATTCACATTAGTAATCCTGTTCAAGCAATGGATATATGATGATGATTCCATGTTTTTTTTCACTCTTATTTTTTCTTCCTATGATACACCTATTGCCACATTTACAAATTTACATCCTATACTTTCTCCTAATCATACATAATCTTCCACTCCTACTCGTCACACTTCTAGATTCACCTCCTATAATATCTTTTAATCAAACACATTCTTCCACTATTGCTTCTATATTACCTATTTGAAAGTCTATGAGAGTAATCAAGCCCCTTTATTGGCATACCGATTTCTCTTGTCCTACTATACACACTTCGAATTGGAGTTTCATTTCTTCTAATCCTAAGTACTCTATTCAAAATTTATTTCATATGATTCCATATCATCTTTTCATTCAGCTTTTATTTCATCCATTTCTTTTATTCGAGAGCTACCTCCTATTTAGAAGCCATTAAGAATCCTTGATGCAATGCAATAGGAATTACAAGCACTTGAGTTTAATATGACATGGACACGGGTTACAAACGTCCTATAGGTTGTAAATGGGTTTACAAAGTAAAATTTAATCTCGATGAGAGTGTAGAAAGGTATAAGGCTAAGTTAGTTGCCAAAGGTTACGATCAATTAGAAGGCATAGATTATAGTCATACATTCTCTCTTGTTGTCAAAATGGTCATTGTGAGGACTATGGTTGCTTTGGCTTCCATACATGATTGGCCTTGGATCAATTGGATGTGACTAATGCATTCTTACAGTGGGATCTTATAAAGGAGGTTTATATGTTTATTTCACCGAGTTATGGCGGTAGGGGGAGGGTTTAGTATGTAAATTGATTAAGTCTCTCTATGGCTTGAAGCAAGCCTTAAGGTAATGGGATTCCAAATTCACCGATAAAATACCGCTTGCTGGTTATAGTCAATCTCGGTATAATTATTTAATGTCCATTAAAAAAGAAAGATAGTTATACTATTAGTGTATGCGAGATGACATATTAATAACCGGGGATGATGAGGATGGCATACAAGCACTCGAAATTATTTCTCCACCGGACTTTCTACATTAAAGACCTTGTTTCTATGAAATATTTCTTGGGTGTAGAAGTAACAAGGTCAAAGGAAGGCATTTGTTTTAATCAAAGGAAATATACACTAGAACTATTGTATGATGTAGACTTGCTTAGTTCTAAACCAGTGGAGATGCCACCGAAACGGAACTTGAAGCTTACTTCGATCCAATATGATGTGTGCAATCGATAGTGAAGGTTTAGTTGTTGTTGAACACACTCGTTAATGATTGTCCAGATGTTGTGTTGTATGATCCCACTAAATATCGAAGTTAGTGGGTAAACTCATCTACCTCATCGTCAACTTATCCGGATATTTACTATGTAGTTCAAATCTTGAGTCGGTTTATACATCGACCTAAGACTTCACACATGAACTTTACTCGCGAGTTCTTAGGCATCTCGAGGGAGCTTATGGCCTTGGCATACTGCTATCTTCTTCAAGTAAGTTACAACTACAAGTCTATTGCAATTCTCATTGGGCTTCTTGTCCCATGATAATGAAATCTCTCACTGGCTTTTGTGTGTTTCTTGGATCTTTTTTATTATCTTGAAAAACCAAAAAAATAGAATACATTTCTCGATCCTCCGCTGAGGCTGAGTATCGTGCAATGACAAATGCTATGTGTGAAATTGTTTGGATTGTGGGCTTGTTGCGAGAACTGGGAATATCGAGTTTGGGAGCGAGTGCACTTTATTGTGACAATAAAGTCGCTCTACACATTGCGTTCAATCCAGTGTTCCATGAGTGAACTAAGCACATCGAAATCGACTACCACTTAGTTTGGGAGAAGCTCAAAACTAGATTGATCAAGCCTCGCACATATCACTACCGATGAACAAATGGTAGATATTTTCACCAAAGGCCTTTGCAGTAAACAACATCAATATCTCCTCTCCAAGTTGGTGTTTATGATATTTATAAATCACTAACTTGAGGAGAGTATTAAGAATATAATTTGTTATACTTAATTAGTTATCTAAGTTAGTTATAGAATGTAAGGAATGTAACTAACTTAGTATAATCAGCCACTACACTTGTATAAATACAAAACGAAGGTTAAATGAGCAATAGACGAAATAAATATTTTTTTATTTTTTCCCTCTCTGTTTCCCGCTCTCTCTAAATTCAACAGATTAGAGAACTAATTAATTAGCTTTTGATGGTATAGAGATTATTTATTTCGTTTTGTAAACAATAAAGGGACTAATTTATAATTTACTCCTATGCTGGGAGCAAAAGCTGTCTCAAGTTTAATGGGCCTCCTGGCTTACCTGAAAGGTCCATAGTTGGGCTTAAATAGTTTCTTGCTTTAGCCGAGTAGGCCCATCACAAATTGTCGTTCTCGAGTCTTCACTCTTGAGTCTTGCCGAGTCGCCCGATCACCTTCTTCGTCCTCTCTCCCTCTCCCCAATCGCCATTTCCTTTCTTCAACGACGATAAACCCAAGCAACTGCCCAAGCAACTGCTACCAGTCAATCACTGGTCTTCTCTCAAGGTAATTGCTCTCCACCACAGGCATTTCCCTAGATCTAATAGCATAAAAATTTGCTTTATTTTATTTTCTTTAAAAATCCCAAAATTAGAACACAAAACAAAAATAACTTTTCAATTCTAAACAATTAAACCTGGATAGCTCATAAGAAACAGATCTGAATAGAATTTGAAACTACCATGTCCTGTTTAGCCCTATCTTTGCAACCCGCTAATGGATCCGACATCCTCCTCCAAACCCGCGAGTGGTTCCCACCTGCTCGCGCTCTCATCGCCACCTCCGCCTTCCGCCAAACACGCCTAGCCTTCGCCGCCACCAAACACCATCCAGCCACCACCACCACCAATCCGAATAACCATTCTTCCGACGATTCCTTCCTCTCTGCAGCATCCGTCGACTCCGTTGCCTCTCTCGGTGACGATCCACTCGCTGCCTCCAGCGGTCAGCTCATTGTCGGTGTTGAGAGCCGTTACCGTGTAGTCTACCGTCTAGTCAATGGAATCTACATTCTAGGTGTCACAATTGCCGATGGCGACAACTCAGTTAATGTCTTTGAGTGCATCAACATTGTCAATCAAGCGGTTAGTGTCATTGTAACTGCATGTCGTGGCGTAGATGTGACTCCAGAGAAGCTAAGCCGGAAATACGCAGAGATCTATATGGCTTTGGATATTGTACTGCGCGGTGTAAGCAATATCAGGCTTGTAGCTATGTTAGCTTCAATGCATGGAGATGGCATTGCGAAAATGGTGCATTCTGCATTGGATACAGAGAACAAAATCCGTGGAGCAGAAAATTGGTCTAATGTGGAAGTACAGGCATCTGAGCAGCAGGCTAGCATTGAGGTGTTTTCAAATGCCCGCTTCGAGTTGCCTCCAGAGACTATTGCCGTTGGGGATGAGGTGATGGTGAGTCTTGCACCTGTTGTTAGTGAGCAGGATCAGAAATTGGAAAAACCGGAGGAACTGGAGGGGCCTAAAGATCCGTTTGCTGCAAGTGACGCAGCAAATAAGCCAGAGGAGTTGGCTGGTGAATTTAAAAAGGATAAGAGCCAGTCTAAGGATTTGACTCTTGCATTGGCAGGGTTGGAGGTTACTACATTGCCACCTGCAGAGGCGACGCAAGCAACACATATAAGTGTGGAGGGATTTGAAGGGGACTATGGTGGAATTGAGTTTAGTAATGAGCAGGCTTCTTTGGGAGAAACATTTGAAGGTTTCGGTGATGCTTGGGGTGGTGGATTGGATGCTTCAGAGTTTGTGGGGACGAAGAAAATCCCCAAACAACAAGGTCTTGGTGGACTTGAATTGTTGCAAACTGGTGATAGTGGTGATGCAGCAGCAGCAGCAGCAAAGGCTGTGAGTGGAGCTGCAGGCACTCCTCTTGAGAATCTTTTGGTTCAGAAAACTGAAATGAAGGGTCCTGAGATGTATATTGTCGAGGAAATTAGTGCAGAGTTTAGGGAATCATTACTTGCAAGAGTTGGATTAATGGGCCTGGTTTATTTGAGAACATTGCCCCCTAAAACTGCTGGTGATAAAGAAACTGAGTTTTCATTCCGAGTAGAAAATACTAGTGCTGTCAAGAGATTTGTTATGCAGGGTTCAAAGGTCAGTAGCCTAGGTAATGGGATGTTTCATGTGAGGACTGCACCCTCTGATGAGCCTATACCAATATTGAAGTATAGTTTGCTGCCTAGGTTAACACCTTTACCATTAAGGGTTCGTCTTACACATCGTTATAGTGGAACTTTACTATCTGCGATGGTCCAATATGTTTCGAATCCAGATCTTCCAGCTCCACTGACTGATGTGACATTTATTTTGAAATTACCGGTTGATCCTACATTGTTGAAGGTTTCGCCTAAAGCTGTGTTGAATAGGTCGGAGAGAGAATTGAAATGGCATGTGCCAGAGATTCCACTCAAGGGTTCTCCTGGTCGATTGAGGGCAAGGATGCCTGTTGATTTTGGAGAGGGAGAGGTTGATGAAGAGATGGAGGTTCTTGGTTATGTTAAGTTTTCCATGCAAGGAAAGACTTCGTTATCTGGCATTTCTCTACAGCCTGCTTCAGAGGGTAAAACAGACTTTTATGAGGTTAGTCACAGATATGAGAGTGGGGTTTACATGTGCAATTGATCAGTGACATTATAGCTGCTTGCTTACAGATTGTTGTGTTTGTCTTTTGTCTTCTTTTTGTTCCATGGGGTGTGTTGTTTCCTCATACTTGTAGCATTCTTTGATATTGAGCTTGTACTGTAGATTAAGATTTGTGTAAACTTTGCCATTAATTGTTATTAGCTAGTCATTTCATTAATGGATAGTGAATTTTGGTATTTTTATCCCTGTTTCTCTTATTTGTTCATGGTCATTATATTTGTTTGAATTTCATAATCTTAATATCATTTTGCTTGTTATCTAGATTTATTCTATGCACTATTGACCAATTAAACTGTGCCTTACTTTTTTAACTATTCATATAGCACAGGTGTGAAGGGATTCTAGGTAGAGTATCAGGTTGAGGTTAAGCTAGTCTTGGAATGACTTGATGTTAATGTTATGGAGCACTGGTTGAATTATTATATTCTGGTGGATCTGTTAGAAAAAAATTACTGAAACTGAGACAAAGACAATACAGCAGTTTCAGGCATTGTTAGTCAAATATATCATGGTAATGAGCAAACTATTTATGGTAATGGAGAGAGTTTGTAATACCCAATCAGACGCCAGCAGTGTAGGTTTTAGCTCCCATTGAAAATTCTAATTGCAGATGTCCATAAGTCCAGTGTTGCATTCATTTTATTGCTGTTATATCAGATCAGAAAAAAAAAATGTTGCTTTTTTTCTCATTGATGCCCAATTAGTGCTACTAGTTGTCTCTTGAGCTTTTTTTTTTTAACTACAATGAAGAGATGTGTTAGGTATAGACAACGCTTTGTCTGATTTAAATCGTTGAAGTAATTTGGATCTTTTTAAACCTTTAAGCTCAGTCAATAGGTAAAGTCATGGAAGTCTGAATCTTTTTTCCATTTGTGGCTCTCAGTAAAGTCCCCTTCAATTTATGTTCAACATGCATGTGTCAATGATTTGAAATTTTAATGCAACACTACATTTGATAAGTTTTCAATGAATAGCCAAATCAACATTTCTCTTGAATTTTTTTTTTTTTTTTTTAATTTTAATATTGGGTACTTAAGTTTTATGAGTTAATTGGCATATTTTCGGGATTTCTGTGGACCATACCCTTAAGCTGAACTGGCAGTTTCGCTTTTGATAGTGCCCTTATGAATTTTGCTCTGTATTTGAATTACTTTAAGTTATTGAACATTGTTAGTCCTCTGCAATGAAGCAAACAGCCTTGTGAATGCTGCCCTGTCTGTATTGAAGCCTGCCTTGCTCTTAATTATAGAACTAGCTGTCCTATGCAATGAAACACATGCATATGCATGCACACTTGGACACACACACGCTTTAATTCATTTTTACACTTTTGGCGCTTGGTTTTATTACAATCTTAAATTTTAGGATGCAAGGATGCCCTTCAAATTTAAAATGTGCTGTTATTAGCAAGATATGCTCTTTCAACTTTCTTTTTAGTTCTCTCTGATAATATGGAAAAGGACCAATTTTATGCTGTTTTTAGAAAGTAGAATGATTGAAATGGATGGCTAGGAGTGAAAATCAGGTTGGGGCCATTTTTAACAGGCTTTTTTGAAACTTGCATGAAGAACCAATTATGTGAAACTATAAGACAACTTTCCAATATGATAAGAATAAGGTTCCAACACTGACTTTGCTACCACATATATCAGAAGTCCTAAGAACTTCTCTAGAGGATGCAGTCATCATCCATATCAAGCGTAAGACTGTAATCAGCTAATCATACTAGAATACTAGATAAGAGTTTTCCTTTTATGTCCTCTGCTATTTGTGTGGATGCTCTTTTTTCTCCCCAAAGAAATTTTTATTTTGAACTCGTGAAACTTTCTTTTGTTGAAGTTATATCATATTTGAAATTAAAATTAGTATAAAAACATGATTACATCTTTACCTGGGCCAGCATTTTTCTGCCTTTTGAGCAGGTAGGCTCATGATCTGTGACCCTATGGCATATCCATAAAAAGTTACCTCACCCAGGGCTTTAGAGTTGTTTTGGCGCTAGAGCCTTGCACCTAAGGTGCACTTTAACAAAGTTCTGTTATCAGATTTATCTGCTTGTGTGTATAGTTATTCTATACTATTATTTAAATGTTGTAGCTTGCATTTTTGTTTATCAGCTGAAAGACAGAAGGTCTCTCTTTGCGATTGCTGAAATGAAGCTTTTTGTTAATTGAAAATTCTGAGCTTGTTCTGAAATTGATTGCGATCTTAGATCTTGATTTATGAACTTGTAGAAGCAGATTGTGTCAAGCATGTGATTTGACTTTTTGGCTGCTTGGAATGCATAATTCATTATCTGGGACTTGTTTAGGAAGAGTTGGATTCCACAAAAAATAAAATTGGATTTTGGTTTGATGGTTTTTTATTGAGTTGAGAGAAAGAGGGTTGCACAGTAGGACAGATTGGAAATATTTCAGGGTGGAACACCTTATGAATTCGATGCTTTTAGCATTCAGCTGGCACACTGCACCAGTTCACTGTCAAGTTTGATATAACATCCAAGGTACACACTGCATTCAGCTGGTACACACCACAAGATGTCACTTTCAAGTTTTGGAAAGCATACATGGCCCCTGGATGTTTTATGTTGTATCCTGCATATACTTTAAGTTTGGCTGCAGCATAACTAAACGCACCTAGTTTGACTACTTATTCAATATGCACTGCAAAAGCTTTTTCAGTATTGGTTCGGTGCCAAAAGTTATGTGTAATGAATTTGCATTCCCTTTTATTAGATGATACTAGCATAATTTTGTGAGATAGTTGGAGAAGGGTGGAGGAGCAGATGGGTTTGTGATCTAGGTGCATTCTCTCGTTCTTCCAAGGGCTACAGGACATAGGATTTTTTTGGGAGAAGGTGCTGAGTTCCCCAAAATTTAGATACTTCTTTTCAACAAGCATTCCATTGTTCAGTAAAGTCTGAGTCATAGTGTTTTGTCAATTCTTCATCCGGAGAATCATGGGTTCAGGTATTTGGATTGTAATGGGTTTGGCGAAAGTTTCTGAGATCCCTTTTAACAAATGAAAAGCACGAGCTTTTGCAATCTTGACTCGTTTAGTTGAGGTTACACTGGATAGATTTTGTAATGTCCTTTTGATATTGGGGGGCGTGCTTGTGAATTTAAGAATGGAATATGAATTATAGAAAATGTGAATTTCAGATTTTGTCAGGAAGCTGCAAGTCAGGGTTCTTGAGAATCATAATCAGTATCCTCTTTTTTGTGAATTTGAGGAAAGCATGGATTCGATAGATTTGGATGATTCTTGGCAACTGTGGCACTCGTGTCTAATGACAACTCTGGATGGATTAATAGGCGGGAATTTTGAATGCTCTTAATTATGTGATTATTGCCATGTGATGTTCAGTTGACAATGTTTAGACCAGATATAAACATCATGTCAGTGGTCGTATTATATAGATGAATTATTGAATTTTCTCTAGACACAGAACTTCAATTTTCCTTTTATTCTCTGAGTCTTTTTTTTTTTTTTTTGTTTTAATAAAAAACAGTATTTTCACTACCATTTTATTTTTATTATTACGACTAGCATTTAGTTTTACATGCAGGCTTAAGTTCAAAGCTTGTGTACCTTGATAAAAGTGGAATATTAGCCTTTTCATTTCGAATGATTTAACTTATTTGGCAGCCTAAGTGGATGGATTTTGTTTTAGTTTTATCCTCAATAGTTGTTCTCCTCTTAATGATCCAGAAGAATGACGATTAAGCTTGGCAGTGTTTTCTTTGGAAGTTTTGTAAAATGTCTTCTCAGATGTCAAAGGTTGCAGTATTGCAACATGAAAGAAATTTACCTCGTCCATTTAGAAATTTAAGGGAAATGAGAGTTTTGTTTGTGGTTGTCTCTGAAATTGTTGCATGATATGTACATTGCAGGTGCTTTCATTGCAACTTTTTCATACATAGAAGATCTGGAATTTGCGTAGTGGGTTATGTCTTTCATTCTGCTAGTTAAGACTAAAAGGTTTTCTTTTTTGATATTTCAATATGTACCATAATTGCTATACATGTTTTAGAAGCAGAAATCTTATTGCTGGGATGAGACGAAGATGGCATGATTTTCTTGGAGAATCAGAGATTCAGAGTGACAGTACTGTAGACTAGTAATTCCAACAATGATTATGCTCCACAGGGTTTTGTTGGACCAATGATGGGGATGTTGGCAGCAGCCCCCAAAAGTTTTTAGAATACATTCTAAGAATAATTCCAATGCTTAAGCATTGATTTGGCATTTGGGTAATGATGTTAAACAATGACATAAATAAAAAGTAAGTACAATCTCTCCACAACCTTTTAATCATTCCTATACTTCAAAACCATCTTCTTCTAATGTAACGGCACTAGAGGTAAGGTAGAGATGACAAGAGCTTCTTTGTTTTAAATGTGGGGAGCATTACCAATGTCCTAAGAAGAATAGTTTGCATATTGCGATTAAGCATGGAGAGAAAAACACAAGAACAATCCGATAATTCATTTGAATTTGAAACTTATGAAGTCGATGATCTTGCTAATGATGACGATGTAGATACTTCTCTTTTATCTATTACTAGGCACATTCTTGCAGCCCTTAGCGTAGAAAAAGATGAAGATTGAAAACGGTCTATGATAAAAAGTTGTGGAAATCAAGTCAAAAAGCTTATAATTAATGGTGGAAGTTGTATGAATGTTGTTTCAACATCCACGGTTGATTGCCTCAAGCTTCCTACCAACCCTTATCGGAAACCATACAAAGTAGTTTGGATTAACAACACAACCATTCCGGTAACACAACAATATCTTGTTTCCTTAACTTGTGGATTCTACAATGATTCTATATTGTGTGATGTGGTTCCTATGCAAGTTGCTCACATTCTTCTTGATCGACCTTGGCTTTTTGATCGACATGTGAAACATGATGGACATAAAAATACATACTCTTTTTCCTTCGAAAAGAAGGTTATTGTCCTAAAGCCAATGAGTTCATTTGATAGTAAGAAGTATAAAGAGAAGTCTCAAAATTCAAAAAGTATTGATGGCACTACATGTAAGTATCTTCGGGTATTGGCTAAGAAACAATTCTAAGCAACAAGCTCTAAGGCTAAAGTGATTTTTGTTGTTATTGCAAGAGAGATAGAAAAATCGGTTGCTTCCCCTATTTCTAATATGACTCTATAGGTGACTAGATTATTTTTGAACTTTTTCGATGTTGTACCGGAAGATCCGTTTAAGGAATTACCTCCCTTACGTAGTATTCGGCATGCAATTGATATTGTTTTAGGCTCGTAACTACCTAACCTTCCAAAATATTGGATGAATCCTAGCGAGCATGCTAAACTTAAGAGGCAAGTTGATGAGCACTTGTCCAAAGGATTTATTCATGAAAGTCTAAGTCCCTTTCTTTGTTCCAGTATTACTAACACATAAGAAAGATGGTACTTGGCGTATGTGTGTTAATAGTTGAGCTATAAATAAGATTATTGTTAAATATTGCTTTCCTATTTCACGTCTCAGATGACATGTTGGATGTTATAATGGATTCAACCATCTTTTCAAAGATTGTCCTGAAAAGTGGGTATCATCGATTACTGAATCAAACTCGGTGACGAAATGGAAGATAACCTTTAAAACTAATGGTGGCCTTTATGAATGGCTAGTCATGTCATTTGGGCTTTCCAAAGCTCATAACACCTTTATGAGGTTTATGAACCGGATACCTCGACTACTTTATTAGTTGTTTTCTCGTCGTTTACTTTGATGATATCTTGATTTTCAACAAAATCAAGGAAGAGCACATCTTTCATCTTCGATAGATAATGAGAGTTCTTCGCCAAGAAAAACTCTACTTCAACCTAAAGGAGTATTCTTTCATAACTCCAAGTGTTGTGTTTCTAGGTTTATTGTTTCATCAAAGCGAGTTGAAGTTGATCTAGATAAGGTGAAGGCCATTAGGGATGGTCATCTCCAACCACTTTGAGTCAAGTAAGAAGCTTTCATGGGTTGGCTACTTCTTATAAGTGATTATTAAAGATTTTAGCACCATAATGGCTTCTATAGCTAATTATTTAAAGAAAGGTCATTTCTTACGGATAAAGACGAGTAATAAAGGCTTTTGAAGAAATTAAAAGGATGATGATTGAGGCTCTCGTTTTACACCTTTCAAATTTTTTTAAAGTATTTGAGGTGACTTGTGATGCATCTCAAGTAGGTATTGGTGGTGTACTTAGCCAAGATGGACATCCACTAGATTATTTTAGTGAAAAGCTTAATAAGGCAAAATAAAAATATTCGACCTATGATAAATGATTTTATGTTGTGGTTCAAACACTATGACATTGGTGGTATTACTTAATTTCTATAGAGTTTCGTTGTATTCCGATCGAGGCGCTCAAATACATCAACTCTCATAAGAAGCTAAACTATCGCCATGAAAAATGATTTTTTTTTATTACGAGAATACACTTTTGTTCCTAAACATAAGGTTGGAATTGAGGAAAAAAAGGAAGTTGATGCGCTTAGCGAGTATGAAACTAGTTCTTAATTATATGAATGTTCAAGTTATTGGTTTCGACTTGCTTAAGAAAGATTATCCTTCTTGTCGAGATTTCAGCATCATTTATGCTTGATTTATTAGCTAGAAAACATGATGAGTATCCAACTTTTTCCATACATGATGGATACCTTTATAAGGGAATTCATTTATGCTTACCTAACACATCTCTTTATGAAGAAATGGTGAGTGAATTACATGCTTGGAGGTGCAACGGGACACTATGGTAGAGATAAGGCCATTGTAATGGTTGAGGATCGATTTTATTGGCCAAGTATGAGAAAGGATTGTAATATCCTTGACCCAAAAACCTATCGAATATATATATATATATGTATGGAAGGAGGAATAGTTGGAAATTTTGTTAAAAAGGACTCGAAATGTCACAATTAAAAATGAGAAGCTAAAATTTAGGGGTGTGATTGAATGTAATTATAAAATCAAGAACCAAAGTGATAATTATTGGTAAAATAGAAGAGCATTTGAACCAGCCATTCGACTAGAACTCATTTAAAAATTTCAGTTTAGAAACTAAAATTCTAGAGGCTGGATAATCGGCTAGACATAAGAGAAAGAGGAAAGAAATTCATAAGAAGGAAAAATAAAGGTTCAAGGAAGGATCTAGAGGGGTTATTGTTAGTGTTGATGTCCAAGATCCAACTATGTATGAATGAGCTTGAGTTAATGTGTCATTGCATTATTTATTTTGATAATAATAAAGAAGTCATTTTGTTAATTCTAATGTTTACATATTCGGTAGAATTAGATAGAAGTCCTTGTGATATAGATTTACAATAGTGATTGATCGAAAGATGTGAGACAAACACTAATGCACATAAATGATATCATTAAATGTCCCAAGTCGTAGTGTTGTCAAGAATAAACATTGACAAATACAAATAGACTTGTAAGTGCTATGCTATATGATAGCAATATGAGATCTCACACCTATTGACATGGTGATGCCAAAGTAAGCACTTAGGTGATTTATGTTAGAGAACATATCACCTGGAGTTGACTTACCATGAGAACCTATTTGGTTTTAGTTTATGGGAATCTCACACGAGATGGATACAAATTATCCTTAGACTTGAAGTCATCACGATTATCTCATTAGAGGACTTATGCACTTTGACACTCGTTTCGATGAACCCATTAATGGGTTGTACGTGAGCGATTCATTGGATGCATTAGGGATCCAATGGAGATAGGTGTATGACTAAGATAGGACATGTCATTTCTTATATTCTAAAAGAGTTATCACATTGTACTTCGATAAGTGTTTGCTCAAGAAATCTATGACCATAGTAGGAGTACACCAATAGAGCATAGTTGGTCTACTCAAACAGCTAAAACATTTGAGAATCGAAGAAAACTTGTGTGATCATAATTGAACAAGACTAAAAACCAAGTTCAAGATCATACTATGATAAGTTGACATGAAGACTGAATTGTATGATAACTATGCTCGTGAAAGGTAATAATGGATTAATTAATCCTCATAGAGAATTGAGTAGTCATGATGCCTTGCTAGATGCTAATTTTGATTTATGTGTCAAGAGATAAAAGATAAGTTTTTTATTCTTGATACATTACTAACATATCTAGAAGCCTATTGAGTCACACATATAAGTTTAAGTATTCACATCATAAATGAGAAGCAAAGATATTGAAAAAAATTTTCAATTATAATAGGTTTCCTATTTTGGAAAGAGTTTCCAAAATGGAAAGTTTCATAAAATGGAAAGTAACATATTTAGGAGCCTATTGAGTCACACGTATAAGTTTAAGTATTCACATTATAAATGAGAAGCAAAGATATTGAAAAACATTTTCAATTATAAAAGGTTTCCTATTTTGGAAAGAGTTTCCTAAATAGAAAGTTTCATAAAATGGAAAGTTTTCTTTTTAGAAACCAGTTTCTTAATTTGGAAGTTAGTTTGAAATTTGAAAATAAAGAACCCAAAAGGAAAGGAGTTTCCTAATTTAGGTTAAAGAGTATTTTAGAAAATTATTTCCTAATGGGGACCACGCCAAAATAATATAAGAATATTTATTTGGATAGTCCAAATAAATTAATTGGACTAAAATAGTTTTAACCCATTATATTTAACTAAAATCTTAAAGATAATTTTGGTGATAGGATAAATATCAACCTTATTGGATAAGGTTGAATGTTTTAAAGATAAACATCAATCTTATTAGATAAAGTTGAATATTTTAAAGATAATAATCAAATAGTCCACATATAAAATAACTCCTCATCCTTGGAATATAAGAAAGCAACAACCTAAAGTACTTTATGGACTCATAACCGCCCTCTCGTTGTCCTTGGAGGACAAGGAAACTCTCTCCCTATTTACGAAGGAGAGGTGTGGCATAAAGGCTTAATGTAAGAGAGGATATTCGGTCAACATAAAGAAAAAAAGAGGAGAGAAAATTCAGCCGACCCAAAAATTACCTAAGGCACACAACCAAGAGAGAAAATAAAGAAAAAAATAGTTTTCTCCTAAACCTTAGCAAGAAATAT